ATTCACTATTTCAAGCTCTCCCTTGCCTCCTACAAGGGTCAGAATAGCTGAGCAAATGAATTCTAAGCTTGTGTTAGTAGAGTGTAGGGGTTAAGGACATTGTTCTTGGAGGCAAATAGCCTGGGATCATATCTTCACTTTATTAACTAGCCATGAGGCCTTAGGCAGTAACTTAGCCTCTGTACACATAGTCTTCTGTAAAAAGGGGTAGTAACAATATATATGTCATGAGGTTGTTATGGGAATTAAATGAATGATATATGTAAAGTCTTTAGAACACTATCTGATATATAATAAACACTTAATATATACTGTTATTATTTGGGGTACAGGGGGATTGACAAGTGGCACTACTAGGGTGATGAACAGAGTGCAGAACACAGAGGGAGACATTATTTAGGGCATCTTTAAAACCAATGTCTTCTTTTCCCTTCTCTTTCTCTCCTTTGTCCTTCCCTTTCTTCCACTTCTTCCTTCTCTCTCCTTCCTAACAGTTCAGCCCAAAATCCATTAGGTAGGCCCAAGGAAGGAATACTATGGACAATTATATACCAATAGATTAGAGAATACAGATGAAATCAACAAATATTTTAGAAAGACACAATACCAAAACCAACTCAAGAGGAGTCAACTAAATAGACCTATAACAAGTGAAGAGATTAAGTTAGTAATCAAAAACTTCCCATAAAGAAAAGCCCAGGCCCAGATAGCCTCATTGCTACATTCTACCAAACATTTGAAGAAGAATTAATACCAGTCTAACAAAACTCTTCCAAAAAGCAGAAGGGAGAGGAAAACTTTTCATCTCATTCTATGAGACTGGTATTACTTAGATATGAAAACCAAAGATATCACAAGAAAACTACAGATTAATATCTCTCAAAAATATGGATGCAAAAAATCCTCAACAAGATGCTAGCAAACCAAATATAGCACATAAAAAAGAACTATATATCATGACCACATGGGACTAGGAATGCGAAGTTGGTTTAACATTCACAAATCAGGTAGGGGTGCCTGGGTGGCTCAGTTGGTTAAGCATTTGACTTTTGATTTCAGCTCAGGTCATGATCTCATGGTAGTGAGATTGAGCCCCAAGTCAGTCTCTATCCTGGGCATGGAGCCTGCTCAAGATTCTCTCTCTTCCCTGTGCCCCTCCACTGTTTGCTTGCTCTCTCTCTCTTTCTCTTTCAAAAATAATAATAAATAAACAAGTAAATAAATAAATATCAATTAATGTAATACAGCATAGTGAAAGAATAAAAAGCAAAGCCACATGAACATCTTAATAGATGCAGAAAAAAAGCATTTGACAAAATCCAATATCCTTTCATAATTTAAAAAACTCAAAAAACTAAAAAAAAATGTCATCATCTTGATAAAGGGCATCTTCCAAAACCCCACAGCTAACTTATCACTAAATAGTGAATGACTAGATGCTTTCTTGCTAAGATCAGGAACAAGACAATATACATTCTCACCACTTATATTTACCTTTGTACCAAAAGTTATAGACAGTGCAATTAAGGAAGAAATAAAAGATATCCTGACAGGAAAAGAAGAAGTAAAACTAGCTCTCTTTGCAGATGACATGATCTTGTTGTATATGACAATCTTAAGAGGGGTGCCTGGATGGCTCAGTCTGCTAAGCTTCCAAATTTGTTTTGGGTCATGATCTCATGGTTCGTGATTCCAAGCCCCACATTAGGTTCTCCACTAACAGTGTGGAGCCTGCTTCAGATTCTCTCTCTCTCTGCCCTTCCCCTACTTGCATTCTCTCTCTCTCAAAAATAAATAAATAAACTTAAAAAAAGAAAATGCTAAGAAATTTACCAATAAACAAATTCAGCAAGATTGAAGAATTCAAGATCAATATACAAAAAAATTGATTGCATTTCTATCGCATGCAATGAACAAGCCAAAATGAAATTAAGAAAACAATTTCATTTATAATAGCATCTATAAGAATAAAATACTTAGAACTAAGTTTAACAAATAAGTGCAAAATTTATACTCTGAAAACTATAAAATGCTGTCAAAAGAAATTACAGAAAATGTAAATATTTGAGGAAACAGCCCGTGTTCATGGATTGAAAGGTTTGATATTGTTAAATGGAACTACTCCCCAAATTGATCTACAGATTCAACATAATCTGTATCAGAATCCTAGCAGACTTTGAAATTTATAACCTATTTCTAAAATTCATATAGAAACTCAAAGGATCCAGAAGAACCAAAACATTCTAAAAAGAGAAAAACAAAATTGGAGGATTCACACTTATTGATTTCAAAACTTACTACAAGGCAACAGTAATCAAGAAAGTGTAGTACTGGCATAAGGAAAGACATGTAGATTAGTGGAATAGAATTGAGGATCTAGAAGTGAATTTATGTGCCTGTGATCAACTGGTTTTAACAAGGATGCCAAGACCATTCAATGTAGAAATGAAGAGTCTTTTCAACAAATGGTGGTGGAACAACTAGATAGCCACTTGCAGAAGAAGCAAATTGGATCCTTTCTTCATACAATTTATAAAAATTACCTCAAGGGGCGCTTGGGTGACAGCTGGTTAAGCGTCTGACTTGGTTTCGGCTCAGGTTATGATCTCATGGTTTCATGAGTTAGAGCCCCACATCTAGCTCTCTGTTGGCAGCCTGGAGCTTGCTTGGGATTCTCTATCTCCCTGTCTCTCTCCCTCCCCCACACATGCTGTCTCTGTCTCTCTCAAATAAATAAATTGAAAAAATTAACTCAAAGGGGATTAAACACCTAATGTAAACATTAAAACTACACAACTTTTAAAAGAAAACATGGGAGTAAATCATCACGTGTTTGGATTTGGCAAAGGATCCTTAGATTTGACACCAAAAGCACAACAACAAAAGAAAAACAGATAATTTGGATTTCATTAAAATTAAAAACTTTGGGGGCACCTGGGTGGCTCAATCGGTTAAGTGTCCGACTTTGGCTCAGGTCTTGATCTCACGGTTCGTGGGTTCAAGCCCCGAGTTGGGCTCTGTGCTGACAGCTAGCTTAGAGCCTGAAGCCTATTTCAGGTTCTGTATCTCCCTCTCTCTCTGACCCTCCCCTGTTCATGCTCTCTCTCTCTCTCTCTCTCTCTCTCTCAGAAATAAATATTTTTAAAATTTTTTTTTAATTAAAAACTTTGACACTTCAAAGGACAGCATTGAAAAGTAAAAAGAACAATAGAATGGGAGAAAATATTTACAAATCACATATCTGATAAGGGAGTGGTATCCAAAATGTGCAAAGAACTTTTACAACTCAATAATAAAGATAAATAGCCTGATTAAAAAAATTAAAAAAGGATCTGAATAGACATTTCTCTAAGGAAGATATGCAAATGTATAATAAGATCATGAAAGATACTTGACATTATTTGTCATGAGGGAAATGTAAATCAAAACTGTAATATGCTATCACTTCATCAGGATGGGTTGACTCAAAAAGGCAGATAATAACACATGTTGAGAATATGGAAAAATTCAAACCTCCTGTACTGCTGTTGGGGTTGTAAAATGGTGTATCTACTTTGGAAAACAGTCTGTAAGTTTCTGAACAATTAAACATATAGAAACAATTTCACTCTTAGGTATATACCCAAGAGAAATGGAAACATGTATGACAAAAAATATGTGCAAATGTTTATACATTATTCATGGTAGTCAAAAGGTAAAAGCAACTCAAATATCCATCACCTGATAATTGATAAACAAAATGTAGTATGTCCATAAAATTAAATATTATTTGGCCATAAAATGGAATAAAAACATTGGCACATGCTACAACATAGATGAATCTCAAAAAAATTATGCTAAGTGAAAGAAGCCATTTGCAAAAACCCATATGTGATTTCATACATGTGGAATATCTAGAACAGACAAATCTGTAGAGACAGAAAGTAAATTCGTCATTGCTTAGGAGTGAGGATGTGGAGGAGGATGGGGGATGTTAGCAAAAGGTACGGTTTTCTTTTTGAGGTGATGAAAATGTTCTAAAATTGGCTATGTGATAGTTGCACATATTTTAAAATATACTAAAAACTATTGAATTGTATACTTTAATTGGGTAACTTATATGGCATATAAATTATATCTTAATAGAGATGTTAGAAAATTCTGAGAAAAAAATGGCAATTAAATGGAACATTTGGTTTTGGACTGGAACTTTTAGCACTAAAAGACATTTTGGGAATGATTGAGGGGACTGAATGTTGTCTGGGGATGTACTAACAGTACATTAACTATTGCTTTTAGTACATTAACTAAAATCAGTTAATTTCCTGATTTTTATGGTTATATTTCAGTTGTTCAAGAGAAAAAGCTTGTTTGTAAGAAATGTACACCAAAGTTTTTGTTGGTGAGAGGGCATCACTGTAGGTAACTTACTCTCAAGTGTCTAGGGAAAAAAGATTTTTTGCAACTTATCTGTTAAGTTAAATGTACACTAAAGTTTTTGTTGGTGAGAGGGCATCGCTGTAGGTAACTTACTCTCAAGTGTCTAGGGAAAAAAGATTTTTTGCAACTTATCTGTTAAGTTTGAGGCTATTTCAAAATATAAATATACATATATATTTTTAAAGTTTGTTTTTATTTATTTTGAGAGAGAGAGAATGCATGAGGGGGGATGGGCAGAGAGAGAAGGAGAGAGAGAATCCCAAGCAGGGTCCACACTATCAATGCAGAGCCCAATGGGGGACCTGAACATACAAACGGTGAGATCACCACCTGAGCCAAAGTTGGATGCTTAACTGACTGAGCCACCCACTTGCCTCAAAATATAAATATATTTTGGAAAATACCTGATTTAATTTTTTAAATGTGAGGTTAGGGATGGAATATTGGATTCTCAGCAACCATAGGGAACTGAACACTCATGATCTAGTCTGTCTATGGTGGGAATGGTGGTGGTGGTGGTGGTCTTATCCTTTGACTTTAAGAAAGAAAAGAGAATTACTATTAACACAATAGAAGAGAAATAGTTGAAGAAATCAATTTATTTGAAAATAAATGCTTCTTTATTGAAATTTACATGTTTTAGCAGGAATCATTGATCAGTAGCCAGTGGAAAATACCAGACGACTTTTGGAAAATGCTGTTAAAAGCCTGTCAGCTCATCGTCCTCACTTTTGCCAGTCTGGTAACCAGTAAGTGTCAAAGACGAATCTTGTACTGGAAGACCTTTGAATACTTTAATGTGAATATACCTATTATCACCTACTTGCACCTAAAAGATAAAAAAAGAAAAAAATGAAAAGGAGATTCATTCAAACGGACCTCTGTCAAGTGAAAGATCTACAGACTATAAAACTTTACTGAAATAAGCTTTTTGGGAACAGCATTTCTAGACCAGCATTCTTAGACCCTTGATTTTCATAAGTCTGTCATCTTATTTTATGAGGAAGGGTATGGCAAGAGGCACAGGCCCTTATTTTATTTTACTTTATTTTATATTATTTTATAATTTCCTCCTGTTTGGGCACAAATGAAAGTTCAGAATTGCATTTCATTTTCAAAGATGCACAGAGCAAGAAAACAAGTGACCATCATTTTGTTGATTTTGTTTTCTGACTTCCAAATTGGGACGTTTTATTTGCCACATAGTTTGAGAAGGGAGGAGAAAATCAGAATTATCCTAGAAATTTTGGGATGTGTGGTGCTCATATCTATATTAGAACCTACTTTATAAGTGCCCCCTAGTATAACTGAGCAGGGCCCAGGAAGTGGACCGTGTAGTGTCCCTCCTAAAATAAAGGGATCATGCTGGGAAGTCATTGGTATGAAAATTGAAATGGTAGTTTGGGCATGAATCTGCGACCTAGAAAATCATGGTAGGAATTTCTACCTTTGTTCTTGGTTGAAACAATAAAAATTTATCTTATAAGAATATTTTTTTATATTCTGATATTCCTTCCTAATTAATAAATACCATTATCAAATGTTTACTATGATTCAGAGGCTATGATGAGCAGTTTATATACTTCTTACTATAAGGCCTGAAGAAAGGTGGAACAAATGACAGTTTTAGAGATGCAGAAGCAGATTAGGAGACATAAAGTAATTTTCCATAAGTTTCTCAGTTAATATGTGACAGAGTCAAAATCGAAATCCAAACTCTAACATTGATGTTCTTTTCACTCCACAGTGTAACCTTTTAAACGCATTTATTCTGTACTTGGAACAGGGCATCAGCCTTTTTATACATTATTAGATGCAGTACAGCCAGAAGTTAAGCATCAGACCATCTGGATTCAAATCCTAGCTCTGCTTTTATAATTGTTTGACCTTATTAGTTACTCCATCTCTCTGGGGCTCCATTTTCTCATCAGTAACACAAGGGAAATGATCATACTTATCTCAAATTTGTTGAGAGGATTAAAAGAGATAGTACATTCCCAGTTCTTAGAGCACATTATAAGTGCTCAGTAAATTTCTAGTTCATTTATTCCACACAACACCTGGCAAAGTAGATTATTATTTGCACAGGGAAGACAAGGGCATTGAGGCTCAGAGAAGATGAGCAACTTCAATTACACAAGCACTGACTAGTGGAACAAGTCAAACAAGGGTTCAAGGGTGCCAGAACTGTCTGACACCAAAGCCTGCAGCCCTTCCATTCTACCACCTGCCTCTTAATAGATACTTGAGGAAGAACAGAGGTCACATCACCAGCAAGACCTTAAATGTAGAGAGTGGTTCAAAGCAGAGATCAACAACTAGATAAGATGGCCAGGAAGTAATGAAGGGACTGTAATCCAGTAGTACAAATGTGACCAGGCAGGTGGTCTTAATGGAAGAAATTTTCAAGTTTTCTGATAAGCTTTTAAGGACATACATGAGCTGGTTAATATATGAACTTTATGAACTTGGGCTAATCATAAATTATTAAAACAATGATCCCAATTTTGATGACATGTTTCTTGTCTTTCAACAAAATCATTTTTAACTGGAGAACATTCTTTTTTAGCTGTGAAGAAAGCAGATTGAGAAGGGAGGAAACAATGCCAGCGCTTTCTGAGGATAATGCAGGATCTCATTCATGTGCACCACCTCAGCACCTGGCATGTACTAGGAGCTCAAATTTCCTATGCTTAGCTGGTTAGGACTATTTTATTTTTTGGCTCAAAACATTTTTCAAAAATGTTGTATCTTAAATGGTTATTAATTGTTAACGAGAAATAAGCCAGAGTGTATGTTGGTCAAATGGTTTTGTAAAGATTAAGTAAATGCATTTGAATGTCTGTTGTTATTATTTATTAAATCAGAATTGTCATCTCAATACAAAAGGATGAAAATGGTTCCTAAATATCTATGGTTGATTTGAAATGGTTCCCTCTCAACTTATCTTCTTCCATTATAACTGGATAGTGCATCATTTAATTTATTGATATAGCTATAAAATTAATCTTAACATTATTTTAAATGTTCCACTGTTTTAAACTACACCTACAGTGTCACAAATTGACTTCACTTATTTGAATTGCCAAAATTATTCAAATTGTGTTAATCAAAATGCTATGTAAAGGACAAAAGCAGTTTAAGTTATTTTCTCACCTTAAATTTTAGGACTTAAAGTCCTTCCTAAAATCCATTTAATTAGATATATAGAATCACAAAGCTTTGAGATAGAATAAGCTTCAAGATAGCAGTGGTCCAACTTCATGCCTTCAGGCAACTGAGATACTATCCCCCCACTTCCCATAAGAAGCAGCCATAGCCACAAATTAAACATGTTTGGAACTGTTATGAAATCTCTTTCTATACAAATTATGAAAATTTATAAAATGTAATTGTCATTTAGAAGGACTCAATATAAGAAAGCTTTCTAAATTCACAGGAAACATGGTATAAATATCCCATCATCTACCAAATTTGAGAGTCTACCACTTAGGAAGTTTTATGTGGAGTAAGCATCTTCATTTAGTACAAACAGAAGGGACAAAATATATGGCAGGGGTGACAGGGAACATCACATAAAATGAAGTACACAGTATCTTTTAGTGCCAAGGTGGATGTTGAACTCTAACCTTAATGTAGTAATTTATTCCAGCAACCACTTGAGTTTTGTACTCTATAGCTTCAAATTTCTGGTAAGTCTCATTTGTTTTTTCTTCAAGCTGAGATTTAACCTTAAGAAGAGAAAAGAGGAAACATGTTATCAAAGCTATATTGGACTCCATTTATGTGATTTACAAACCTGGAAACCTTGTGTTTCTGAAGGTCCTCACACATGATAATGAGAGCTATTTCCAGTATTTCAAGGAAAAGAAAGCATCTACCTTTAATAAGATTACATGAGCTAACTAAAATCTCAAACTTTGTTGCTTTAAGGCTGAATTTACATCAACTTGTGGCAATATAGCAATATGCTAACGTTTTCACTAGTAAAGCTTTAATATATATACCTTTGATTAATAAAGATGGGAGAGCTATAATTACTACTTAAATTTTTTTATTTTGAAATAATTTCAGACTCAAAGTTACAAAAATAGTGCCAAGATCCTTAATTTAATCACATCTCCAAGTCTCTTTGCCATGTAAGATAACACATTTACAGGATTCAAGGATTAGGATGTTGGCCACCATTCTGTCTACTACCGGCGGATTATAAGCTTTGTTGGCAGCATTCCCAAACCAGACATGACAAGGGTCTCAAACTCAATATGTGAACTTCCACTGGATCTACCAGTTTTCAGTATCAGTCCTTCATTCCTGCCCTCAGCTGGGCCTGAGAATGCTAGTGTCCACTGTGTTCTGACTCAGCTTCTGCTACGAGTAAATCACCAGAATTCTGTGAGGGTGGAGAATGGGTAATAGCTTATCTTTCAGCTTGGAAGAGAGTGAGAGGGAAGGATCTGGGGGCAAGCTCCTCATACAGATCTGTCATCTATTCTCCTGGTGTTAGCCTTATGTCTCACTCTTGTCATCATAAGTTTCTGGCATTGCTAGTACTTGGGCCATTTTGGAATTCTGCACCATGAATCCACTTACTTCTGGCTCATCATTCCCCTCTGTGGTTTCGGCTTTGTTTAGATGGTCCAGTAATTTTCCATTATTCACCTGTTTTCCATCTTCCAAAGTTTTGTCAGTATCTCTGCGGTGGTATTTGCCTATCTCGTGTTGTCTTTCTATTTGTGGCTTTGTACCCACAATATTTAGCCCACAATATTTTCCCACTATTTAGAGGGAAATAGATGTGTATGTTTGATATACTTTGTTTATTGGGAAGTTGTCTCCCTGCCCATCACTAAAGCATTTTACGTGTCTTAGGCAGGTCTCCCATGCATCTAGGGTTCTCCCAAGGCCATATCAAGTCCTTCCCTTCAGTGGGACAGAGGTACTGAATCCTTTTCTATCAGCACCTCAGTTTGGGTACCAGAACTGTTTTCAAAGATATAGACATTTCCAAACTCTTTGAATTCTCAGACTACTTTTGAGGCTACAACACTTCATGGACCACCACCCATTTCTCCTGTGACCTTCAGAATAGATGGGAAGAATGTGATATTGCTTTCTTGAGATGGAAAATAAAGCTCCAAAGTGGACAAAGGAAGGAGACAAATCATGAGGAAAAAAAGAAACCAAACAAAAAGAAATTGGAAGAGGTAGGGTGCAGGAGAGAGGGAAAAAGTAGACAGGAGTGCAGAGAGAAGTCAGATAAGGAGAGGAGTTACTGTCCTGTTGCTTCCTCTGTCTAACCCTTCTGAGCCAACACGGGGTACCAGTCAAGTTAGGAGCTGAGTTGGAAAGGGTTAATCTCTACACTAAACCCAACATTATCTATTTAAACCTCATTTTACAAATGAGGGACCTAAGGCTGTGAGGAGAACATGACTGCTAAGGCTGAAAAATTGTTAATTACAGCTATTTAAGGCTTTAAATCTCTTGCTTGATAGCTTAAGTACCTGATTTATCTGTGGCAGTGATCTGTATTCCTTCTGGTTTCCAGTCTTTTGGTCATGGGTTTGTTTGTTTGTTTGTTTGTTTGTTTACTGCATATCAGAAAATTTTATTTCTGTCTTAAAAATAGATCAAAATCTGCCACCTTTCCACTGAATCTATGTAGTCCACAAGTCCAGAGTTTTCCATAAGAGAGCTGATTTCAAATGTCCTGGTTTCTTTTGGGGAATGCACTGACACCTGTCAGACTGTGTGCCATGATTTCAGGTTCACTCTACTTATAACCTGTAGCCTTGCTCTCTCTTTCCAGTAGAACAGACTGTTATTATTCTAATGTTGGATGCTATGAACCTGGGGTCATGAGACAAGCTGAGGAGCAGGAAAGGGGGAAGAATAGGAAGGAACTGGTCAGTGAAACCTTAATTTTCAGAAGGCAACTTGGTGCTGAAAGACTCCCCAAGGATGGGTTCTGGGAGGGTGAAGCCAGTTGGGAGTGGTGGTCTGGGACCTGGTGGTACATAGACAGACCTTGAGCTGAACACAGTTGGCATTCACCTTCCTCAGCCTGCCATGCATGCTGGTGGCTGAGATGCTGGAAGAAGAAACAGTGTGGGTTTGTCACTTGGGCCCCAGCCAGTGGATGGATACTGTCAGGAAGGAGCAGCTGGTAAAATACAATTACCCTAGAGCTGTTTAAGTGCTTTTTGTTGTTGTTGTTTTGTTTTTGTTTTGTTTTGTTTTTATTGCTACAGAACATGAATCTTGGTGAATTGTTAGTTCTCTGGGATCTGAGGATTTGAGCCATGCTCCACCCAACGCCTATGGTTTTTCCCTATCTGTAATCATTCTGCAGAAACATTGGGCTACGCATAATTTGGGGAAGAATGGATAGAAAGGTGATAGAGGCAACATGGGTAAGCCATATTTGGGGATGTTTTATAGAGTAAGGAAGGAGAGTTTGGGCAGTAGCATGAAAGTATACTAGGACTGATGAGAGGTGACTTATAGACATTTGTCATCTGACCATGTTTTGAGGGAAGGGACAAGTATGGGGCAAGGCAACCGGTATAAGAAATGATGGCACCTGACATAAGAGAGGAAAGGTTGACTGAAGAACGGAGGGAAGAGTCTTACACTGGAAGGAGGAATGAGATCCAGCAAGAGATAAGGAAATCAGAGTGTTCTTGCACCAGATGAATACAATCTTTTAAGAGAAGAAACTGAGATACCTGCTGGAGGGGTCTTGGGGATGGAGGGACTGAGGAACCAAGGAGAAATAAGGTCCAGGTCCACCTTTCTGGGGTTTCTAGAAAAGGGCCAACAGGATATGGCTGAAAGGTTGTTCTGGCAGACCTAGGGTCCTGTTGCTGTTGTTTGCTGGCATGAATTCATAGATTTGTCGTGATTGAGTTTCTGTGGTTCTGCAACTTCCTTGAGCAAAGTTCTCTGGATCTGGAGCACAAGCTGAAGAGAAGTGGTGGCAATGGGAGTGATCTCTAATTGAGGACCTGAATGCCAGAATTTCACAGGGTCAACAGAAATCAGGGCTGGAAGAGTGAATGAAGCCATCCACTATGGGTCCAGGCTGGATGAATGCTCAAGTTGGTCTAGGCATGCTCTGATGATGAAGAGGAGAGGGTGAGTGCCTGAAAGATTGTAGTATGGCTGAATGACAGGCTATCTGGGTGTGAGGCAGTGGGAGAGGTGATTGACAAGGAAGCTGTTGTCAGAATACAAATGTGTGGGTGAGTGACAATAGTGACATGCTAAGCTCTAGGGTGTGGTGTTCATGATGGTATGCATAGGAGGTATTTGTATGGTATTATGGTCTGTGCTTGCCAGGAATGGCATTCAGTAATTAAATTTGACGTGTGTGTGTGTGTGTGTGTGTGTGTGTGTGTGTGTGTGTGATGTATGTATCTACCTACGTGTGGATAATAATAGCCCTTGTTTCTAAAAACAATTGTTGAAATAACATTTCTTTCCTGCATATAAAGTTACTCAGAATTCTCATCCATTGGCTTTTTAACATATGATGTAACATAATGGATCAACAGTAATGATGTTGGGCTTTTTGCTGGTAGGACCACTCACTTGGTCGTTAATTACACATATTATGGTTTTTCATAAATGGGGCCAAGTATAGCTCATTATTTTCTTGAGTGTATCTCATCTCCAATCTATTTGTAAAATCTCTCTAAAGGCAGGAATCATCTTTGTGTCCCTCCTGTCCCTATAACATTTCACATGGTACTTGTACATAATGTTTTCTGAATGAAGAAAGCAGGGTTGTTTTTCTTCATGACAACTTGTCTTTCCAGAAAGGAAAGTGAATAGAAAAGAGGGATAGCAGAGATCTTCAACTAATACAAAGAATTCTGGGAAAGGGGATTTCTTCCATGTGTACTCTGGACCCAAGAATCAGTAGCATCCTTTAGTAATTAATACATGATACACAATTACTATTCAGTCTCTGTTATCTTCAGAATGGGGACACTCTTTTCTTCTGCCTTTGGAAATGTTCAAGTCTCCTCAACCCCAAGCTCTTTGTTTGAATTTCTTGTCTTTCTGACCTTGTTCAACATCCCTCTTTCATTTTGATGTCAAATTCCTTAAACCTGCAGTTCTCCTTTTTTCTTTGATGCTTTCTCCTCTCTGTGAGATAGCCTTCATCCTTCCTTTCCCTCCCAAATGGAGTCCTTCCTTTAGTTGGCATTCCACTAAGAAGCTTTTTGATACCGACAGGGAAAGCTGATAAACTTCAGCTCCTCTAAGAATACCTGCATTTTAACAGGTTATTAAAAAAATAAGAATACATAAAAAAATCAAAGAGATAAAATTACAAGGTAAATGACAGGTAGTAGTGGTCTTCCTTGGGACCCCCTAGGATCATACCAAGTGTATGACTACCAACACCTAACCCCTACCCATTTGCCTGGCTCTGACTGTGCACCTAACTAATTCTATAATCTTGAAGAAGGTGTTGATTATATTTCCTCATCTAAAAGTGGTTTTGGTAGTACCTGCCTGGGGAGATAAGTTATATAGTTGATGGGATGTGCTTCCTAAACTGACCATTCCTCCACCTTCTAATACTTAATTGGGAATTGCCCCCTACGGTGCTCCTGTAAGAGGGGAGCTAGCTAAATGATAACTGGGAGCTTAACACTTGAGAAGCAGAACTACCATCCAGTAATTATTCACTTGAAAGTTATGAACTTTGGGGCATCTGTATGGCTCAGTCAGTTAAGCTTCCAACTTCAGCTCAGGTCGTGATTTCATGGTTTGTGAGTTCGAGCCCTGCATCAAGGTCTCTGCTGTCAGCACAGAGCCTGCTTTGGATTCACTGTCCCCCTCTCTCTGCCTCTCCCCTACTTGTGCTCTCTCTCCTTTCTCTCTCAAAATAAATAAACTTAAAAAAAAAATAAAGAAAGTTCTAGCTTTGATGGACAAACTCTAATGTCTTTCCTGGTTCCAAATCTATGATTTAAGAAATGTTTTATATTACATCCTGCTTATCTTGATTTCCCTAAATGGAGTGTAAACCCCTTGAGGGCAGGGGCCATGTCTTAAAGTCCTTATGTATCTTCTTTTAAAAAAAATTTTGTAATGTTTATTTATTTTTGAGAGACAGAATGTGAGCAGAAGAGGGGCGGAGAGAGAGGGAGACACAGAATCTGAAGTAGGACCCAGGCTCTGAGCTGTCAGCACAGAGCCCTCTTATGTATCACAATGCTGGTCACCTAAGAGATATTCAAGAAATGGTTCATTCATATTCATTTGTCAAATTGATTTAAATCTGAGGCTGGCTGCTTGCACAAATAAGGCAATTTGCCATACCATGTGTTTCCCTCAACCCACCTACTTCTCCATGTTCCTGCCACACCGTACAGTGGAAAAGGCAGGTGGTCAAAATCTGAAGACAGACCAGCTTCTTAACCAGGCAGTTATTAACTGCTTTGAATCTCAGTCTAAAATCTCACCTGAAAAATGGACATGATGATTTTCTTCCCTGCCCCAGGGATTATGATGATCAAATGAGAGGTTAGTCGAATGGATGACAAGGCTGCAAAGCACCTTTCTGGGGTGACATAGTTACTTATTAATATCTATCTCTCATTCTACCTCCTTAACAGGGTAAGCCTTGACGTAAGCAGCAAGAAACACACTTGCAAGTTAATTTCATAATTTAAGATATGGCTTACAGATGGGTGTTTTTAAGAATGCAAGGCCTTCTTATAGCTTTATAGCTTCTTATTAAAAAAATGATTCTTGGGGCACGTGAGTGGCTCAGTCAGTTGGGCGTCCGAGTTCAGCTCAGGTCATGATCTCACGGTTCATGGGTTCGAGGCCCCGTCAGGCTCTGTGCTGACAGCCAGCTAAGAGCCTGGAGCCTGTCTTCAGATTCTGTGTCTCCCTCTCTCTTCTGACCCTCTCCTGCTCATGCTGTCTCTATCTCTCTCTCAAAAATAAATAAAACATTTAAAAACTGTTTAAAGAAATTATTCTTGATTACAAGGTAGGCTTTTTAAAAATGATTAACATTTTCTGCACTCTCTCTATCAAATCTGTTATTCCCCATCTTTCTTACAGCTCTGGTCCCTGGAGAGTCTTGGGGCATTCTCTGGCGTCAGGGGTGATTTCAGGTAAAGATTTGAAGCAAATAACTATGATGCCTCATCTATGCATATTTCTTTCTTGTTTCCAAGACATTATTATGCACATCATCTTATTTCATCCTCATAGCTTTGAGGTCAGCAGAGCAAGAGGTGTGATCTTCATCTCACAAATGGAACTGAGATGTTTTTTTCAGTGCCTTGCTTTTAGAAAACCCATTTCCCATAGGTCTCCTGGATATTATGCATCTCTAGTCCTGTAGGCCAGTGAGGTCATGGATAGCAGCAGGGGCATCACCTGAGAGCTGGTTAGAAATACAGGCTCTCAGGCCCATCCCAGCCAGATCTACTGAGTCAGAATCTGCATTTTTAACAAGACTCCCAGGTAATTCATGTGCACACTGACCTGATATAGGGACTCAAAGAAAGTTATTAAGAACTTAATAGTATGCTTTACAAGAAAAATAAGCTGCAAAGTATTTTTTAAAAGAACTTTTAAAAGGGAAACATTTAGTCCCAAAGAACTAGTGTTAGAACTCCAGGCATCTAATCTCTAGAAAGTTTCCAGAGCCCTAACATAGAGGATTCTCTCATTCACTCAAGAAGCTGGTATTGTTTGCCAGTGTCATTGAAGGAAGTTTTAGAGAGAAAAACAAGGAATGATATAAGAAAGTAGTGTGACAATTTATAGGCCTAAAATGGTAATTTATATATATTTTCTTTTCATAAAATATGCAATACAATAAAATTTTATTATTTAAGTGATAGCTAATCAAACAACACTTAGAAAAATGTATCATCTTACTAAAAACATTGAGTGCTGGTTTCACCATAATCCATTTTGGAATAAGCATAGACTATGCCACTCCTCTTCCATACTAGTTTAATCGTCTTCTAAATATTAAGAGACTAAAATATTTTCTATTTATTCAAATTGGCAGGAAGTTTGTAAATGGATTATCTTTGCAAGATTGTTCTTCATTTAACCCATTAAAAAAAATTTCCCTGTAGAGAGGGTAAAGTCCAGTTTGTCAAATTGTTAGCATCCTCAGACTTTAATTACATGTTGGCTCCATTTGGTAAGATCAAAAAAGTTTCATCAGAAACTGAATTAGTAATCCTAGAATCATACACTGTAAGCCTATAAAGGTGTACACAGTACAAATTCTTCTTTTATAAATGGGGAAACTGAGGGAAGGGATCCCATCAGAGAAGGGATGTTACTTGACTAAGATCACTCTCATATTTGGGGTTATTAGAGGTTTCATCTGGAAAGGTTTTTAGTTGTAGAGAAGCCTGAACAAAACAACACAGTTCTCAGTGTTCCAATTTTCATGTTCACCCACACACTTAACACAGCAGACCTAGGAACCAAGATTTTGAATCAGTCCTTTTCATGAGATACATCAACTCACCTCATTAGCAATCTCCTGAATTTCTGGAGTGGCAGGTTTGGCTTCACTTAAGCCTCCAGGTATCATTTTGACTAACTGCTTCTTTGCTAGGCAGGATGCTGGAACTGAAGTGATCAGGTCAGCGTGGAGACTCTGGTTTTTAAAGAGTTCAACAAGCTCCGCCTCCAGAAAGTATTCTTTTTCACAGAGAGCAAATAGGCATAAGGAAAATGAATCTGTCTTGAAGCAAGCCATGCTGCTTCCTCAACAGAATATGCTAATAGGAATTTGGAAGAGTGAGGGCTGGGGACGGACAAACAGGTGTGCCCAACAAGTCACCTTGTCACAGGAGTCAGACTTCCTTGCATTCTCTTTGACAAGGGTTCATTCCTGTTGCATCTGAGGAATGAAATCTGAAGCCACAACCAGAGTTTCCTAATGTTTTAAAGCCTCTAACACAACATTTTGTATTTTAAGGGTATTTTTATTAATAATGTTAAGGCTGACTGTTTAGTATTTACCTGACTTTAAAAAGAAAGTAAAATGACCTATACGGAGAAATTTGGCTGGATATTTGTATTTTATCTTTTTTTTTTTTTTAACATTTCTAGAACTGCAGAAAAACACAAAAAATAAAAAAACAAACACTTATATTCATATTACCCATATTTAAAACTTTTAACATTTTATCTTACCTACTTTCCCTTTTCTTTTGTAGTTATTTTTAAGAAATAAAATATTACCAACCTCCCACTCCCCTCTCCCAAACTGCCCCTCCCCCAGAGGTAAACTACATTGTGAGTTTTACACATTTACTTAGTGTGTTTTTAAAAATTCACTTAAATTGTATGCTAAACATATATTCTGTGTTATGCTTTTTTCCTTCTCAGCATGTTTTTGAGTTGTTCCATATTGATACACAGACCAATGTAGTTTATTTCCTTTAACTGATTCTTGTGATAGATTTATCTATCCATCTATCTGTACATCATCTATTCTCTCTATCTGACTGCCATATGCTATTCCACATTTCACATACTTATTCCCCTATTGATGAAGACTTTGGTTGTTTCTAGTTTTTTACCCTTATAAACAAAATTGCATGTTTTCCCCTTTTGTACATGTGTGAGGACTTCTGCAGGCAAATTATCTAGAAACAAAATTGCTATTTTGTGTGAGTATTTATCTGTATTATTTTATTCAATTTTTGGAATATGTAACACATACATATGATTAAAATGTTCAAAAGAATTTACAGTATAAGGAATTCTTCACCTACACTTCCTCAGCCACTCTTCTACTCCCTAGAGACTATGGTCATCAGCTTCTGTATCTTTCAGAGATATGTACAAATATATAGATATTTACAATATATATGTACAAATAATATAGATAATTAGCTACGTAAATACATATACATGTGTATGTACTTTTCTTGTGTAAATGGTACAAATGGTACCCTATCACATAATCTATTATATGCTTTGCTTTATCCCTAACAATATATTTTGAGACTTTTTTATATTATTATATTATACAGTAATACTTTAATATAATTAATATATAATATGTTATATAAATTATATATTAGAAAAGTGGTTAATTCTTTATAATGTTTGGCAGGTGCTTGACAAATTTTTAGAGATAGGTAGGTATCTTACTGGATAATCTAAGGAGTGCCATGCAGATGCATGTCCATGGAATGCCCTCACCCATGTATTGAGAAAAATAGGAAATGTGAATGACATGGTGCTCACTTAAGTGGCGGCAAGTCACCTTAACACGTTGGCTCAGCTCTGGTCACAGATAATCCTTGACATTTTCCCGTGACCTTTCTAAGTCAGGTCCTCCTATATCCAGGCCTCTAACTTTTTTTCAAGACCCAGTCCATTTCTGCCTCTCTGTTTATCAAGTTCAGGTGATACTTATCTAAACTCCTCAGGGGTCAGGCATAGGGTAAGCAGCCTATCTTCTATTCTCTTGCTAGAGACTATGCCTGTTAATCTTGGGTAATCTCTCTTGATTCTCAATAATTTCTTTTAGAAGCAAAAACTACCCTCAAAGCAAATACTGCTTTTCTCTTTACATTTCCACAATATTCTAGCTCTTCTCAAAGGTAGTAATGGATGCTTCTGATAGGGAAGAGTCACATACAAGGAAGTGCAGAAAAGAAAAACACAACAATTACTATCTCTGTTAACTATTTAATTAAACACACAATAATTAAATGCACATTTTTTCTTTCATAGTTTATTGTCAAGTTGGTTTCCTTATAACACCCAGTGCTCATCCCCACAAGTGCCCTCCTCCATGCCCATCACCCCCCTTGCCCTCTCCCCCTCCCCCATCAGCCCTCAGTTTGTTCTCAGTATTCAAAAGTCTCTCATGGTTTCCTCTCTCCCTCTCCCCAACTATTTTTCCCCTTCTTCTCCCCCACGGTCCTCCATTAAGTTTCTCCTAATCCACCTGTAAGTGAAAACATATGGTATCTGTCTTTCTCTGCCTGACTTATTTCACTCAGCTTAACACCCTCAAGTTCCATCCACATTGCTACAAATGACCAGATTTCATTGTTTCTCATTGCCATGTAGTATTCCACGGTATAGATAAACCACATCTTTGTGATCCAGTCATCAGTTGATGGACATATAGGCTCTTTCCATGATTTGGCTATTGTTGAGAGTGTGGCTCTGAACATTGGGGTCCATGTGCCCCTATGCATCAGCACTCCTATATCCCTTGGGTAAATTCCTACCAGCACTATTGCTGGGTCATAGGGGAGTTCTCCTATGTTAATTTTTGAGGGATCTCCACACTATTTTCCAGAGCGGCTTCACCAGTTTACATTCCCACCAACAGTGTAGGAGGGTGCCTGTTTCTCCACATCCTTGCCAACATCCAGAGTTTCCTGATTTGCTCATTTTAGCCACTCTGACTGGCGTGAGGTGGTATCTCAGTGTGGTTTTGATTTGTATTTCCCTCATGATGAGGGACGCTGAGCATCATTTCATGTGTCTGTTGGCCATCTGGATGTCCTCTTTGGAGAAGTGTCTGTTCATGTCTTCTGCTCATTTCTTCACTGGATTATTTGTGTTTCGGGTGTAGAGTTTGGTGAGTTCCTTGTAGATTTTGGATACTAGCCCTTTATCTGATATGTCATTTGCAACTATCTTTTCCCATTCTGTCAGTTGCCTATTAGTTTTATGGATTGTTTCCTTTGCCATGCAGAAGTTTTTTATTTTGATGAGGTTCCAGTAGTTCATTTTTGTTCTTGATTCCCTTGCCTTTGGTGATGTTTCAAGTAAGAAATTGTTGCAGTTGAGTTCAAGGAGGTTGTTTCCTGCTTTCTCTTCTAGGGTTTTGATGGTTTCCTGTCTCACATTCAGGTCCTTTGTCCATTTTGAGTTTATTTTTGTGTATGGTGTGAGAAAGTGATCTAGTTTCATTCTTCTGCATGTTGCTGTCCAGTTCTCCCAGCACCATCTGTTAAAGAGGCTGTCTTTTTTCTACTGGATACTCTTTCCCACTTTGTCAAAGATTAGTTAGCCATACATTTGTGGGTCCAGTTCTGAGTTCTGTATTCTATTCCATTGGTCTATGTGTCTGTTTTTGTGCCAATACCATACTGTCTTGATGATTACAGCTTTGTAGTAGAGGCTAAAGTCTGGGATGGTGATGCCTCCCGTTTTGGTTTTCTTCTTCAATATTACTTTGGCTATTCGGGTCTTTTGTGATTCCATACAAATTTTAGGATAGTTTGTTCTAGTTTTGAGAGGAATGCTGGTGCAATTTTGATTGGGATTGCATTGAATGTGTAGATTGCTTTGGGTAGTAATGACATTTTAACAATATTTATTCTTCCCATCCATGAGCATGGAATGTTTTTCCTAAATGCACATTTTAAAGTATCTTGAAGACTGCTCTATTGGATGTTGTTGTTGATTTTGGTATCAATTGTTCAGGCTATTTTAATGGCACTGGATATTCTCATATGTTTTATATTTCTTGTCTGTGAGCTCATATTTCCATAGGAATGATCTTTATTGGTGGTTTCCCTTGTGGGAGGCTGGCTTGTGGGCTTCCCAGTGGGGTGGTTGCCTTTACTGGGTTTCCCCCACGGGGGTACACAGACTTCAAAATAGTTCTTATTTTACTGTTGACTTTGGGCTCTTGACTCATAATAATACTGAGAAATGGGACTTATCTCCAGCTTTTGGTACAGGCTTGGGGTTCTGGACTTCCCTAGTTAACGGTGTTTCCACATATGGCTGGGTAAATGTATGAATTCATTCACTTATTATACACCCCATTATTTCCACTTCTAAGTATTTACTCAAGAGAAGTGAAAACATATGTCCACAAAAAAGACTGTGTACAAATATTCATAGCTGCATTATAACAGCTCCAAACTGCAAACGACCCAGATGTCAATCAACCGGTAAATAGATTTAAAGACTTGTATATCCATACTATAAAGTATGACTCAACAGTAAACTGAGCAAAATAGTAATACATTCAATAACGTAGGCAACATAGGTGAAAGATAAGTCAAAGTGAAAGAAAGTCAAGTAAAAAAGAAGTCAAACACAAAAGACTATGTACTATATTATTCCATTTATATGAAATCCTAGAAAAGGCAAAATTATAGTGACAAAAACATATCATAGGTTGCCGGGGGCTGGGAATGGGTGAAAGGATCTACTGCAAAAGGGGGCACAAGGAAATATTTTTGGGAGATGGAACTGTTCCATATCTGGATTGTGGTGGTGGTTATACAATGGTATACAATTTAGAAAATTCACCAAATTGTACATTTAAAATGGGTGGACTTTATTGTATGTAAGTTACACCTGAAAAAAGCTGAGGTAAGAAAGCACTACCTTTTAAACACCTTGTTTATATGTCTCTTGGTCTTGCTTTTATACTGCTTCCTCTAATGTTTTTCATTAGAGCCTCAACTACCACTGCATCAACATGTTGCCTTAAAAATGATTTTAAAAATCAAGTTACTACTCCTGGCTTTCCTCAGGTGAGGGGAAAAGAAGGAGGTAAGGCTGATCGAAGACAGGTCATAGAAAACAGATGAAAGATTTTGTACTTTAGTTGTTAAGTA